ATAGATAGATAGATAGATAGATAGATAGATAGATAGATAGATAGATAGATAGATAGATACAAAAGGATAAGGATATATAGACACATATATGTATATACATACATGTAATATACACATATGCATACACATATTTCCAAGCCATCATTTTTCCAGACTGAATGTCCTAATCTTTCTAGTCCAGCCTACCATGCCACATTCTTCTCCCATCCTCACCCCAACCCAGTGGTCATTTAAATCATTCCCAGTTCCATTCTAGGAGGGAGGTGAGGTGGGGAGGGTAGAAGGAGAGGTACAACCCAATGACTAGAATATAAAAATCAAAGCCATCTGTAAATCTTATTTTTTAAAAAATTATATCATGGGCAGATCTGACAATTCAACACAATTCAATAAACAGGTATTAATTAATCAACAAGAATTTGTTAAGCACCTCCTGCTGGGACTGCAAAGTCAAAAATGAAATGTCCCTGCTCACATTCTATCGGAGGAGATACGTACATAAATAAGCATATACAAAACATATACAAATTCAATGAGGTGAATAGGGAGGGTCTCAGCATAGGTTTTAAGTAAAACATATCACCTACTGTGTTCAATAGAGAAGGAAATGGCCAATCACTCCAATATTTCTGCCAAGAGAACCCCAAATGGAGTCTTAAAGAGTCGATTGAAAACAACTCAACCATTGTGTTCAAGGCAGTGGGCTAGATGTTGGTGACCCAAAGACCAAAATGAAAACAGGCCCTGTCCTCAAAGAGCTTCCATTTTATTTGCCTAGGACCCAAGTCCCCCAGCACCTAGTTCAGTGTTCTTTTTATAGACCCTGCTGCCTCAATTTTGTTCAAGGATAAGGTATAATATCTTTAAATGCACTTCTTGATAATGGCCAACATGTTCCTAGTTCTGGTGGCATATGAGGTCAATATTTTCAAGAAAACAGAAAAATGGCATTTGGTCCTTTTCCTGGATCTCAGCTCTTTAAGCCATTATTCTAAAAAGGAAGTGTGGATTATTTCCCCCAGAGTTCATTATCTTACACTTGCCTTCCTTAAGTTATCATAAGGCAGATCCAAGTTAGAAAAACTCTGTTTTACGTTTCATTAAGTGCCTAACACTGTAGAAGTGTCCCAGATGGAGAAGTCAAGGGATAAAGGAGACACTGCTAGATGGTTAGGGTCTTTTTAAGCTCAATAATTTTCATTTTTGGAATAGCAAAAGGAGTCTTACCAAAACCCTCAAAAGCAGCAAATAATCATTTATAAAAAGAGAAAAATACTCTTAATGTAAAGTTAGAGGACGTGGATTGCCATTTCCTTGTTCAGCTTATTTTACAGATGAGGAAACTGAGGCAAATGGTGACTTGCCTAGCTAGGGTCACACAGCTAGTAAGTGTCTGAGGTCAGATTTTGAACTCGGGTCTTCCTGACTCCAGACCCAACACTCTATCTACTGTGCCACCTAGCTGCTCATATTGCTGGATATTGATCTATATCTGAAATATAAATAAGGATAAAAAGATTTCACAACTAATTTGTTTTTCCATGTAGATATGAAGTTAATGGAAGACATATAGAATACAACATTTATTTTTGATATATTATTTTACCTTTCTTCTAAAGGCAGATATCTATATTCAAAATCTGCTTTAAAGAATGCCCATAGAAATTTTACACTAAGCTTGCAATGATATAGGAGCCCTAGTGTTATTTCAGAGAAATCAAGCATTGATTAAGTACCTAAAATATACCAGGCACCATGCTAAGCAGAAGACGATACCAAGACAGACAAAAAGACAGTTCCTGCATTTTATCAAACATAATTTCCTCTTTATGTTGTTCACATATACATATATATACTTTTTTTCGATTTTATTGATTTTATTCTGAACTTAAGAAACAAAGCAAGCATTTCCATAACATAGAACAGAAAACAAAAAAGATGATTGTACATGAAACTTTGATATCTATTTAGAGAAGCAGTTAGGTGGCTCAGTAGATAGAGTGCTGAACCCAGAGTTAGGAAGACTGAGTTCAAATCGACCCTCAAAATCATACTAGCTGTCCGACTCCAGAGTAGTCCTTCAGCCCTGTCTGCCTCAGTTTCTTCATCTATAAAATAGGGATAATGATAGTACCTGCCTTGCAGGGCTGCTGTGAAGATCAAAGGAGATAATAGTTATAAAGTAATCTGCAAACTATGAAGTTATACAGAAAAGCTAGCTATTATTATTATTAGGTCTGAATTATCAGAGGATAAATTTAGTAACAATTACAATAATAATAATAGCTGACAATTATATACCACTTTATGGTTTCCAATTTTAGATACATTTAACTACATCCCATTTTAGATACATTATTTCGTGTAAACTTCACAACAAAATCCCCTGAGTCACATTCCTATTTCAAAATGAGGCTAAAGGACATTAAGGGATTTGCCCCGGGAAGTCACAGGGCATTTATTTAAGTACCTACCATGTGGTTCGGTCTACTTTGAAAATGAACAAAGAAAACAAGGCCTGGTAGCAGTATCTAAACAAAACACACAAACTTTGCTCTCCCCAGAGCTGGCTTTCCTTATCAAGTAGGTCAAAGGCAAAAAGAGAGTGAATAACTAACCTAGTCTCTAAGAAACCCAGATTCACGAAATACAAATCTGACCTCCTGGCAAGCAGGGGTGAACAGGTGTCTGAGCATGCTGGGAAATGCTGTCCAGAAAACTCTGGGCCCTGACAGGTATGGTCCTGGGTTAAGTCGGGCTCAAACGAAGGAAAGGAAAGAAAAAAAAACTAGAAAGATTTGGTTCAATCACAGGAACATAGATGTACACTTAAAAGGGATTTGAGAGGTCATCCATTCCAGTCCTCTCATTTTACAGATAGGGAAGCTGAGGCACCGTGTGGTGAAGTGACCCAGGGTCACACAGAGCTAGTAACAGTCTGAGGTAGATTCAAATTCAGGTCTTTCTAACTCTAAGTCCAGGGATATACCCTGCACTTTCTGGCTTTCCCTCCTACTGCCACCACCCTCCATAATCCTCAACTACCCCTTTAGGCCTTGGAGAGAGAAGAGGGGAGAGAGAAAAAGAGGAAAGGAAAAAGAACCCAAACAGCAGGGAAAAGAATATTAATAATAATTGACATTTTTATATTATATATGATGTTTTATGTATTATCTAATTTGATTTTCACAACAACTTTATGAGGGTTACAGATGAGGAAACTGAGGCTAACAGATGTTAACTTACTTGCCCAGAGTCACACAGTTACTAAGTGCCTGTGGAAGGATTTGAACTCAGATCTTTATGATTTCTTGTCTGGCTCTCTTTGACTAGACTAGGGGTGGACAGCCTGTGGCCTTGAGGCCACAGGTTCCCCACCTCTGGACTAGACCATGCTACCTCTTGAGAATAGGAAGAGGAGGGGCAGCTACATGGCGCAGTGGCCCTGAAGTCAGGAGGACCCGAGTTCAAATCCAGCCTCAGACCAAACACTTGACCCTGGGCAAGTCACTTAACCCCAATTGCCCAGAAAAAGGGAAAAAAAGAGAATTGGAAGAGGAAAGCAAGAGCAAGGGAGGAAGAGAAAAAGGAGGGGAGCAAACTGAAAGGGCTCTTCTTTGGAGCTGAGCACAACTGTTCAGATGTGGGCAAATGGAATTATAGCTGAGGCATAGTTGGCTCCCATCTTCAAACACTTAGGTCAGGTCAAACACAATACCCAAAGAAAGGGCACAACCATGATAATAACAGCTTGCATTTATGTTGTGCCTTAAAGCATGCAAAGTACATTGTACCCATGTGGGGAAAAACAGGAAAGGGAAAAGAAAGGGAGATGAGCAGCACCCTTGGCTTCCATGTTCCTTCTTCATGAGGGTGGACATGGTCATAGATCCATGGCCTCTGGTCTTAGTTCCACCCAGAACCTGGACAGTCCTGAGTAATGACTGGCAGAGCCTGTCCTCAGGCAGACTCTTTAATCAGGAAACCAAAACTAAACAGAACACTCTCCCGAGGAACAGATCATCAGATCATAGCGCCATCGCTAGAATGGTCCAAAGATCCCATACAGTCCAATCCCTTCATCTTGCAGATGAGAAAACTGAGGGCCAGTGAAGTTCATTGTCTTGCCCAAGGTCATACAGGGAGCAAGCATCAGAAGCAAGATTTGAACTCAGGTCTTCTGACTCCAAAGTCAGTGTTCTTTCCATTGTACCACAATAGAAACAATTCATGAAAACGTAAGTCTTGCTTCTCCTGACATTCAGATGCTACCAAGACCTTTCAGGAAAAAAAAAATACTATAACACTAATAATTCCCCATCATGCACTCTAAGTTCCAGTCCACTCTGGGTTCTCCATATGTGACCCTCCATCTGCTACCTCCATGACTGTGCACAGACTACCTCCCCTACCTGGAACACTCTTCCTTCCTAAGGATTCCTTCAAATCCCTGGCTCCATTCAGGACTCAGCTCAAATGCCACCTTCCACACCAAGCCTTTCCTGCTTCCTTCAGTCATTAATGCTCCTCCCCTCTTAAGTTACATGGTGTATATTTTGCATTTATTTTTAAGTATCTTTTTTCCATCTTATTCTAGTTTTCTGGGTCCATATTTCCCCCCACCCACCCAGTAAAATGTAAGCTCCTTGAGGGCAAGAACTGTTTTGGTTTTTTTGTCTTTGTATCCACAGAATCTAGCAAAGTGCCTGGTATCCAGTAGGTACTTAATAAATGCCTGTTGGATTCAACAGAATTTACAGGGAAAAGACAGCAATTTCTCTGAAATACACACACGCACATACATACATACATACGTGCATACATACATACATACACACGTCTCCCAAAGATCAGTTTCAAGTTCGGAATCACACACAGCCATCTCTATCTATCAGCAGTCCACATCCACTGACCAGGGCAGGCAACTCCTCTATATTTGGCAATGCAATTTCGTAGTGGTCTGGAAATATAACAAGCTTGGCTTCATCTTCATATTCATAATCATCACTATTTAAATCTCCAGTCATTTCTAGATCTAGGAAAAGAAAAAAAAAACAAAAAGGTCAGAGAAGCAGGATCCTCGGCCAAGGCAACCCCAATAAAGACCAGATGCAGAATAAATGGCAGCTTAATATTTTTATCTACATGTGATGCATGCAACAGGTTTTCCTCCAATAGCTTTTCTCTCAACTTGCCCAAAGCCAGGAATAAAAAGTCCCTCCCATTTTTCATAACTAAGATTACAAACATGTCTATTAAATCCGGTCTCTACAAAATAGGATAAAACCAAAAAGAATATTCACTTGGATTGTAAAGTTTTATGATCTGTGGAAAGCAAGCATCTTTAACATTACAGAACAACATGAGAATAGAATGGTTTCCATACAGAATGGAATGACATAGACAAAAAGAGAGTATGAGCTACAGGAACTTGGAAGAGAGAAGATGAAGCTAGAAGGGACTTCAACACACACACAACAGGAAGTCTAGGAGGATTCTCGGAACAGAAGATCTCAAAGTTGGAGAGGACCTAAGAAGATGCACCAGCAAGGCTGCATCGGACCTTTGAAAACTATGAGACACCTTAAAAGACACAACAGTGGGATTGGGAGGGACCTTAAAGGTCATCTGGTTCAACCTCCTCATTCTGTAGATGAGGAAACTGAGGCTGAGAGTGAGTTGCTAAATATGCCTCACAAAGTCATTTGTCAGTAATTTCACGGAGATTAGCATGGAATGGTTTTCACAACAATGAGTCATTTAGAATCAAAGGGGAGAGCTTAGGCAGTGAGCTAGAGAAAGAAGCACCCGAACATGAGAAAGACGCGTTCTCATCATGTTTCAGAGAACTCTCAAGTTAGAAAGATGAGCTTGCCTAATTTGTTATTTGTTTATCAAATCATAGCCTCTTCCCTTGGCAAATCTCTGGCACAGGCTAGGAGAAAAGGACTCATGGAAAAGTCTTAATGGAGCAACGCTGGGGCTTCTCAGGTTCATTTCCACACATGAGGAAAGGTTTAATGCCAGCATCCTAACTCATGTTTGTATATTTAGATGTTGGGAGGGATGGGCATAAGCCACAGAGTTCTGGATATTAAATAATCCCTCCTCCCGCCTCCCATCTTCCCACCAGCTTTGGGCAAATCGTTTTATACGCTGCAGGGAGATGTCAAGCAGAAGGCCTGGGTTCTAGTGCTGACTCACTACAGAGTCTCCCAATGCCAGACCTCAGCGTCACCCTTGCAACCTGAAGGGGAAGTTCAAAAATGACTGGTACGGGTCTATAGGACACTTCAGACACCTTGGTGTAGACACAGAGGGTAAAAAGGAAACGGCTTAGGAGTCGTAGAGTCCTATATCTAAATTTAAAAGGCACCTCAAAGGTCACCTAGTCCAAACCTACTCATTTTACAGATGAGGAAATTGAGGCTGATAGAAATTAAGTAACTTGCCCAAGGTCACAGCCATATAGAAAAGCCTAGTGCCGCTTAACTACATCATCCTGAGACCTTTGAGCCTCAGTTTTCTCATCTTTAAAATGGTGTTCATAATATTTACACAATCTATCTGAGTGGGTTGCTGTGAGGGAAAGTGCTTTGCAAAACACTCTATAAGTCTGAGTTATTGCTTAAGAAAGGCATTATCATTTTTATGAGTCCAAGAAAAAATATAACATCATTTTTTTAAAAAAAGGGAAAATATAACCCGAAAAAATATTCTGAAGAAAATTCTGAGAACTGGGGCCACACCATAAGGTCAATTATTTTTAAAGTGAGCAAAGGACCCTCCAACTATTTTTATTTTTCAGGCAAATCTTCAGTTCAACAAGCATTTATTAAGGGCCTTCTATGTGCCAGGCATGATGCCAGGTGTCTGAGATACAAAGCCAAAAATGACAAATGGACCCAGCCCTCAAAGTGCTAAAATCTAGGGTAGGCATAACATAGAAACATGTATTATACATAAAGTAATTCCAGGAGGGATGGAACATTTACACAGGATGTTAGCAAAATTAATCTATTTCATGCAGAGAGAGCTCAAATTTCCTTCCCAAATTCCAAACGACATCTTCCTTTACTTCTTAATTTTTGCTTCTCAAACCCCTTCATTTCACAGACAAGACTAACATCATAGACTATCCACCTTAAAGAAATACCCAGTCCGGATCCCTAAAGTACTGAAAGTTAATATTTACCAAAACACATCTTGTGTTTCTCCTTTCACTTGCCCAGCTCTGATGTTCTGCTGGCTTGCAGTTCCTCAAAATGCTTCTGATTTGCAGGGGGGGATAGGGACATCACTTGGAGAGCCTCTAATATGTAATTATTTCAGGCTGGGGAAGGTAGAGACTTCAAATGATCACAAGATAGCATTGCAAATTCAATGTAGCCCAGCAGCCGGCCCTCAACTAGCAGGAGCCAGATAGTAAGCTGGGGCTAATTCTGGAATCCATCAGCTCAACATTCTGGGGTGGACCCTGCAATTCCCAGAAATCTCTTAGGAGAGATTCCCACCCTGAGGCCAAGCACTGATGGCTGAGGAGCCAGTGGCCAGCCAGGAAACCAAATGCCAATGAAATGGCGCCAATGTCAGCCTGACAACTATCTCTCCCACCAGTCACTCCAACAGCTGGTAACATCTGGCTCCACTCTCTAGTCTTCTCTTTAGACCACCTTCCATTTTCAAAGGATTTCTTTTGTGTGCAAGGAAAGTGAAGATGGTTCACCTAAAGAAGGGAAGACTTTATTCATTCATCCAAAATACTTTTACTAAGCCTGTACTATGGCCGAGTCTCTATGCTTCAGGCAGATGTGGTACCTTGCCTTCAAATATCTAGAGATGTCAAACAGAAAAGGAAACTCCATAGACCAAAAACGATGAACAACAGGTAGACTTTGCAATGACAAAGACTTAGTTGTAACATCAGGAAAACCTTCTTAAGAGCTGGAACTGGAAGGTAGCTTAGCAGAATAGACAGAGAACCTTGGAGTTGGGAAGGGCTAAGTCCTCCCTGGGACACATCCTGGTTATGTGACCCTGGATAGGTAACTTAACCTCTACAGTGCCCTGGACAACTCACCAACACTATAAATATCAACGTACGCTAATTGGAATTGGTCAAGAAAATTCCCTAACGGAGTTCCCCAAACCAACAAAATCATAGGCCCGGTCCAAAAAAATATATACCCCAAAATGGAACAGGCTTGCTCAGGAGGTTAACAGGCTGCCCTTCACTGGAGTACCTTAAGCAATAGCTGGATGACAACTGACTTAACAGGTATATTGAAAGAAAAATTCTTTTTTTAAATATCAGTTGAATTAGCTGGCCTCTGAGGTCCCATACAATCCCATGAGATTCTATGATTCGAATGTTTATCTCAAGAATACTCACAACTTTACTTAATGGAGTCCTATCCCATCATTTCTCAAATACTTAACTGGCCAAAGACAATAATTCAGTGAAAGATCCATAAATGTACTTCCGTGTTTGGACTCCTAATCCTGAGCTCATTTGGACAAACCATATTATCTGGATAAACATTGGTTAAATTGGCTGGAGATAAGCAAAAGATCCTGCTATTCTTGCACCGGGAAATGGAATTTTCTATTGATCTAAAGAGCAGGCAACAGAATGATGCCTAAGGCAACTGAGTTTTTTCTCTCTCCCATTTCAGTATCACAAAAAGATTTTCCCAAACAATGAGAAGAGAGCTCAATTTATAGGAACCATTGAGATTTTGGTGGGTCGCATGAATTTTCTGAACATTACTAAGACCAAGTTGATAGTGTATTTCGGGTTTCAAACTGTTTCACATAAACTACAGAGCAAGAACTAAATGAAAATAGCCTTCAGGGCACATCAAAACCAAACAGAAGTTAACATTAGTGACCTGAACAGTGTTTCTCAAGTTCTAAAGTCTTCAGACCAATCTTTCCACTTCTGTTAGCTACTTTTTAAAAAAGAGAAACAGAACAATCCCACCAACCTCATCAGAACAGAAAGATTGCTTTGTTGTCAACGACACCAATGAGATGATAATTGTCTTTATTAGATACAATATCTGTAGATCACCAATTCATGATGCCATAAGCAGCCCATAGTATGACAAATACTGTGTCAAGCATGAGCAACCTATAGTTTGACAGATGAGATGCCAAGTCAAGGACAACTTGGAAGCCCTGAGGACCATGTAAGAACTACTAGCATAAGGGAGGATTTCACTCTCTCTTTGTTTCATGAGTGTGTAGATGCCCTTGGGCAAGTTATCTCAGACCACTTAATGGCCTCAGTTTCCCTTATAAAATGGACAAAGGAGACCAAGATGAATTGGTAGCAAGACCTTCATTTTGGGAAACAAATTAAAATATTGCTATTATCTCTAAACACCAGGGAAAGAAGTTGATGACTCAGAGGCCTGTCCATAGTTACATATTGGCCTTCTATGATATGGATTTTTTATGAGGTTCTATCCTGATTACCCATGGACGGCCAATCCATGTGGTCAAGTCAACCAGTATTTATTAAGTACCTACTATGTGCCAGGCATTGTGCCAGAATATAAAAAAGGACAAAAACAGTCCCTGACCTCAAGGAGTTCACAGTCTAATGGAAGGAATTAACATGCAAACAACCATGTATAAGCAAGATATATGCAGGATAAATTGGAGAAATCTCAAAGAGAAGAGATTAACATTAGGAAACTCTTAAATGCTTCTTGCAGAAGATGGAATTTTATCTGAGACTTGAAGGAGTAAAGCCAGAAGGCAGAGATAATGAGGGAGAGAATTTTCAGGATGGGGGACAGCCAGTAGAAATTCAATTGGAAGATGAAACATCTTGTTTGAGGAACAGCAAGGAGGCCAGAGTCACTGGATCACAAAGGACATGGAAGGGAGTAAGGCAGAAGAAAATTGGAAAGTAGAAAGAGGTCAGTCTATGAAGGACTTTGAAAATCAAGCAGAGAACTTTATATTTGATCCTGGAGCTAATAGAGAGCCATTGGATTTTGCTAACTAGGGGTATGGCATGGTCAG